CCTCTGCCGTTTTTTTAGCAGCCTTGCTTTATTTGTTCATTCTCACAAGAAGCTACCCATGTGTTCAAGCCTGGGGCCGATCAAAGCAACAACATCTGTGGAGCTGATGGGAAACATCTCGATCATCCCAAGCCGGTGCCTCCTTACAGGCCTGCTGCCTCTGTTGCTTAATTTCATATCCTTACCGCTGTGATGAGCTCCTTCTCATGAGGAGTTTACAGTGCGCCGTGATCAGCTCTCGCTTGGGGGCGTGGTGATAATCTTAATATGGTAGAACACTTAGTGATACCTGGCCGTATCCCCACCATGGCTGTAAGCAGCGTGTTCAGATTGTGATTAGCAGCTAATTAAATTGCTGTGTGGCAGAACATCTGACTGTCTCTGTGCTGCTCGTTCTCACAGAGACTGTACTGTGTGCTTCTGCATTCTGGAAGGATGCTGGTCTTGTAGACCTCTAAATGATTCTGGTGCTGGTGTTCTGACTGCTACCAGGACTTGTGTGTGTGTGTGTGTGTATGTGTGGTGGTGGTGGGGGGGAAGATAGGAAAACTGATTTAAAAAAAAAACAAACTTGGGGGAGTAGACTTTGATCTTGGTGCTCAATTTTTGTTAAGTACTGAGTAGCAGATGGTGTGGCAGTGAAGGAAGTGAGTTTGAATTAAATCCCAGAAAGGCTTCTGTGTTTCCCTCAGAGCTGAACAGAAGAGCTACAGTAATTCACTCACCAAATAAGGTTGCAACAGGAAGACACTTGGCATTTTGCAATTTTTGATTGCTGTTAAATAAATGTGCAGATTGCAGTTATCAAAGGAGTGACCTTGAGGGTAAATTTACCAATGACTTGTCAAAATTTAGCAGATATTAAGTGTATTTCATTGAATTGATTGTAGGTGGAAAATCTTTTTTCACGGCTCCTTAAAGCGACACAGAGAAGCACCGAACCTTCGGTTACCATAGCAATGACATCACACTTGAAAAAATAAAACACGTTCGCTGCTGTTTGTGCAGTTATTAAAAACAATGCAGCTAGCATGAGACCCAGAATGCTGTATGATATGTCAATTATTATCGGAATTTTCAGATAAAAAAAAAATCAGTTTCACGGGAATATTTGTGCATCATATGTGTTAAATTTAGAGGTCTGCAGGTATTAGAATCCTTGCCAATCACCAGTAACACCACACAGGAAATCCATTCATTACCTATTTTTGTATGAAATTGTAGCAAATAAACCTCCCCTGAAGCTGGTTCTGAAGCCAGCTGCACTCTGTCCACTACTTGGTCATGTATTACCTCCTGAAATTGTATCAGCATCCTTTCCTATTTGAAAAAATGTCTGTGACCTGAAGCCCCCAACAAGCCCAGTCTGAAATATCCCAGTCCGATGTTTAGGGAGATCCTTCTTCTCAAAGACCCAGAGGGTTGCTGGCTTGAATCTCGAAACACTAAGTGTGGTTCTTCCGTGAACCAAACTGCTTTGGAAGTGCTTGGCATTAAATGCATGGACATTTAGATCTTTTGAGTAGATAAACAGGCATGAAGAGCTTGGTGGTAGATGACAAGGAGCAGGCAGAAAACGTTGGGCAGACCTTAAACTAGGGATGCGTAACATATGGGCATCAGCTGATGTGTCTTGGTCAAATTTGCTGACCGTTATACCGTCCTGAGACCCAAGGAAAAAAGTGTCCTTCAATTTTAGGTTATTTGTCTTTGGAGGAAATAAGACATCTTACGATTTATATTTTTTCTAATTTATTTTTATTTTTAATTTGACAGCATTTCCTCTTTAGTGCACAACAGGAATAAATATGTTTCCTTACATCAGTGAAAAGATAGATGCAAAAACAACATGTCCACTACAATGGACATACAGTAAATGAACGGGTGGGGTCTCAGGGGGATATAGACTTTGGTCAATATTCAAAGTTAGTTCTAGCAGAGCTAAAGACATACCTACTAAAATAATGGAGATGGTTGCGTAGGATGATCAGCCGTTTACCGTAGTTGCGGAAGAGGGATTTCGCCAGTTCATCCAGCACTTAGAGCCTCGCTACAGTCTCCCAAGCCAGCGGTGCTTCACTGATGATCACTACCAGCATTAAATGGTGTGGTCGCTCCACACATCTATTGGATTTAAGGAGTAACATGAATTACATCAGTTTCACTACAGATTTGCGGAGCTCAGAGGTTAGCCGGTTACTGGTACTGGTAAAATTACACAAAAAGGTTTTGGTGATTGGTACTTGGTCAAAATCTCCATATTTAGGCATCACTATCTCAAAGGAGCTCCCTGATCATGTACTTGGAGATCAGGACAGCTGTGTTTTGTCTCTGGAGGTGATTTAATACCAAAGAAGGATCTGATAATGAACCTGCAGACTGTGCTTCTGCTGCCTGAGGCTGAGTCTCTGTGTTGTTTGTCCTTGTGATACAGCGCTTTTGATGTGTTGAGATGTTTTTCGGAAGTTTATGCATCGCTACCCAGAGATTTTAGCTCTAGATGCTGAGTTGATTTCATAACTCATTTTCATTTTGTTTTATACAAAGTCGTCGATTATATTGATTACACACTGAACGCTCTGTAGAAAACTTGCCTGGCAGACGTATAGAAATTTGATTTTAAGAGCTTACCATGTATTAATCAGTGGGCCATTTGTCTTTTTCCCCTGAACCATAAAGTGCACATTCTTGTCATTGTCCAGAGTAATCTGGAGTAAGCTGTGAGTTTTTAAAGTTTCACTAGCATTTAGTGTCTTTTTCCATCAAGTGTTTAGCAAACATGCTAGTGAGCGACTGACTGTAGAGCACCATGCTGATTAGTGCGTGACTGACTGTAGAGCACCATGCTGATTAGTGCGTGACTGACTGTAGAGCACCATGCTGATTAGTGCGTGACTGACTGTAGACCACTATGCTGATTAGTGCGTGACTGACTGTAGACCACCATGCTGATTAGTGCGTGACTGATTGTAGACCACCATGCTGATTAGTGCGTGACTGACTGTAGACCACCATGCTGATTAGTGCGTGACTGATTGTAGACCACCATGCTGATTGCTGTCTGGTTAATACCGCTATTTGCTCGTCACTCTCAGTCAGTGTTCCAGGCATGAGGCTGGTTTTCAGAGTCTGTGTGAGGTTAGGGGATGATCACTGGAGCTTTGACTAATGGTGAGGATTTCCAGCACCCTCAAGGTAAAACCCTCCTGCATCTTTCAGGCCCTGGTCCAGCTTTGAGAGGTGGCTTCAAATGCCTGCCCCTGTTGTTAACGCATGGCATGGCTACTGTGTTTACTGTTTACTGAGTAATTTCTCCAGGTTGTCACACTTAAAATTGTCCTTGGTCTCCTTGAGTGCTGAGTATAAATCTGAATAGATTCTTTGTCTGCTCCCAGCCCACCTCAAGCTGGTCTTATCCGAGCCTCTCCACCCTGGGCCTAGGGTCTTTATCCGGGCCTCTCCACCCTGGGCCTAGGGTCTTCTTACTGTGGGTGATGGTCTGCTGTAAGCCAGGAATAACTGCCAATAAACGGTATGCAGATGAGTTCTCGGAGAGAAAGGAAATGGGCCCTAAGCGGGAATCTGAGGCCCCTGGAAACCCAAGTCAAGTTGGACCAAAATCTGCCCACTGACCTGAGTGATGTTCCAGTTTGATCCCTGCCTGGGAGAATGATCTGTCTACACCTACATCTCAGCTATCAATCTGTGGTTTGTGCAGAGCTGAAATATTTCCAAAGGTGTGAAGGGGAAGGAGACCATAGAAATTTTGAAAAGCCTTAAAGAATAGACTCACGGCCGGTGAGTTTTTATTACTGCAGCTGGGCTGCTTTTGCCTTGCTTTATTTTAGCAATAACTATTCTTAGATGCATGCCAGCATGCACACATACCTTTAAACACAGCCTGGGACTGTCACTGCAATGCTAAACACAGGAATGGTTAAGCGTGTCGAGCTGGTACTGTAGTTACACTTCAGGGTTTGCACTTTGCTGCACAAGTCAAGTACGATAAATGTCACTCCACTGAGCCAACAATGACCATCCTGCTCACAAAAGCAACTACACACTGGTAATGCATCATTTATTACGATTTTTCTGCAGGGGAGCAGCAGGATCTTGAAGTGTAATGTGACCAGAATGCTAGCCGTTGTTTATGCGGTCCTGGTAGATGTAGACCATGATAATGCAGTCCTGGTAGATGTAGACCACGATAATGTGGTCCTGGTAGATGTAGACCATGATAATGTGGCCCTGGTAGATGTAGACCATGATAATGTGGTCCTGGTAGATGTAGACCATGATAATGTGGTCCTGGTAGATGTAGACCATGATAATGTTGTCCTGGTAGATGTAGACCATAATAATGTGTTTCTCACCCCAGATGTTCCCTTCCAGAGCCTCCCTTGCTTAGACACCTGCTCACGCCTATTAAAATGACATTAACACCTGCTCGTCTTCGCTCTGCAGACTTTATTAAATTAGTGATGCTGCTGTGATCTGAAGTCTTGTTGTGCGTTTCTGACTTCTTTAATTCTCAGCTTGAATGCTTGTTCGGACCGCGGTGGAATGGTGTCAGAGAACTTGACCATGCTTTAACAGACCTCTTCATCCAGCAGCACTAGGACTTGACAGCATCAGTGTAGATGACAGACATTACTAAACGCAACCATCAGCCAGCAGCTTGGCCCTAGTAACACACATAGACAGTTTATTATGGAGGACCGTAGCGTCTGCGTCCGTGGAATCTTTGTCTAGGCTCTTCCATGGGGAGAAGTCTAACAAGGGTCACTGATGAAGCTGAGGAGAATCAGGCTGCATTCTTTCACATTTCCAGGCAACTTCAAAGCTGGAACCACAAAGCCAGAGACTGGAAATGGTTTTGCCCCTTGTTTGGAAGATTTGAGCATGAATACATAGAAGAAGAATGGTATCTGACTGGGTTTCAAAGAGAATGCAGAGGATCGATTTTAGAAAAGAGATCCAAAGAACAAAAAGGACAGTGCCAGTCTGCGGTGGTTCTCCCAGGCTTACAGCCTGCGTTCAGTGCCAGTCTGCGGTGGTTCTCCCAGGCTTACAGCCTGCGTTCAGTGTCAGTCTGGGGAGGTTCTCCCAGGCTTACAGCCTGCGTTCATTGCCAGTCTGTGGTGGTTCTCCCAGGCTTAAAGCCTGCGTTCAGTGTTAGTCTGCGGTGGTTCTCCCAGGCTTACAGCATGCGTTCAGTGCCAGTCTGCGGTGGTTCTCCTAGGTTTACAGCCTGCGTTCAGTGCGAGTCTGTGGTGGTTCTCCCAGGCTTACAGCATGCGTTCAGTGCCAGTCTGCACTGCTCTCCATCCCCCTAGCCTGAACAGACAGCACCGCCAACCTGGCTGCTAGACTGGGCTGTTCTGGGTAAATGAGGTCTAGAGACATACTGTTGGTTAGGCATTTTGATAATTTAGTCCAATGTAAACTGTAGTTGGTAAAAGGGATATTGCAATAACAATGTGGAAGTAAAACTTAATATTGGGTATGTTTGCTCCTGGGCCCTCATACTGAATGGACAGGGATTTTTGTAGCCCTATCTGAATAAACAGAGACTCATAGAGGTTCCAGAAAAGGGCACCTGAAACTTTTAAATAAGGTGTCATGTTCTCACATGGCAGTCTGGGTATTTTGCATGTTTATATTGTCTCTACTTGTGGAGGCGGTTGTTTCCATTTTATATCAGGAAAAGGCTGAGTTATCAGCAAGTTCCCATATTTCCTGCAAAACATCCTGGGGCAGGGGGCCTAGACAGGAAGAGGTCCTGCCTGGAGTAGGTGTTTTTGGGAGAGCAGAGGCGGGGAAGTTCCTTCCTTAAGGAAGATGGGCCACATGGTTCAGCTAGCTGTTCTGTGATCAGCTTTTCACTCTGGCGCTCTGTTCAAGATCTGCACTACTTTGGTAACATCAACTAGACTAACCTAGCTTCTAAAAAGCTAAGCTTAATTATGTCAATTTAAACACATAAACTGAACATCACGGGTAATGGTTTTAAAATTTGGGAATCTTTTGTCTTTCTTCATGCAAATAGGCAGCTTGAAGTATGCATCCTGTTAATTGAATCCCTCTTATTACTGGAATGATGTCTGGTGTGAATGTAGAGGAAATGCAGGCCCTGTCTTGCTCTTTTGCTCCCTGCTTCAAACTGGAGACGTGTAACTGACTGTACTGCTGCTCTGGTTTCCTCTAGCCGTTTCCTTCCCGGGTCTAAACAGACTCTTTGGTGCTTTCCAGTTTCCTGGAGCATATATGCAGCGAATGGACCGGCACAGACGTGAAGAGAATTGGTCTGGGCAAAACAGAGGGTCAAACAAGTGAACCAGCTGCTCATTTAGTGTGTTTACTCGTGCTACACTTTCTTTATCCGACACAAGGATCACAGGTAACTTTTCTGTTCACTGAGAGGGTCCTTTCAGTCTGGTGGGGCTTTGTTAATTCTTCATTGCATCCACATGCTGCACCATGTGCTATTGCTGCATTCTGTCGACACGGGTGCGTGCTCTCACATGTTTATTTAAAAAAAGGCATTTTCTGCTATTGACTTCTGCTGTGACTTGTTTCTGAATTGTGTTGGAAGATGACAAATTAGGGAATTTTTACTTAACTTTTTCCTCTGAGGATTTATCCTTCATTTTCCGCATGAAGGCAGTTTAACATAGTAAAAACAGATATTTATGTCCTCCCTAATTTACTAACTACATTAGCAGAAGAAAGCTTTTGATAATTTCAGTGTATTGGGTGGTGTATATTTTTTGCAGTGAAATCTGGCTGTGATTTATTTTCAGAGTAGATCAGGGACTCTCTCATTTGCAGTGAAATCTGGCTGTGATTTATTTTCAGAGTAGATCAGGGACTCTCTCAGTGCTCTGCTCATTCTCAGCACCGATGTCTGTACTAGTGCTTCTTGGTTTGAAGCTGTTGTGTGTCTTCAGCCCAGCAATAATCTCATCTTATGAATCTGGCCCCGGTTTCTGGTTCCGCACAGAGCATGGGGGATTCGTTAGGTGCGTGACGTGGCTGCGCTGTCGCTCCGTCTTCTTATGGGATGGAAAAGGGCCCTGTGACTCACTTCCTGTGATATTTAGGTGCCTGCAATGCCTGATCTAGCAGAGATGTAATGGATGTGTGCGTGAAAGGTCAGACAAATCTGAGTGAGCGCAGGTTTAAATATATATATATTTTTTAACCAGGCTAGATGTCCAAAATGTGAGGCAATCTCTTTGCTAAATGGAAGTATTTGCAATCATTTGAAGTTCTTATTGAGAACTTCTGCTCTCACCTCCATTTTGATGTTGCACTTTGTATGTTAAGCTTAAATGAATGGGGTAGTACTGTGTTGCAGGGTGCCTCATGAACTAGTGTGCCAGGTGGACTGGTAACACTGGTCTCCATAGTGTTTGGGTTCACGGGATATACGAGGGCGCGTCTCCAGGCAGCCTGCTGTTACATAACATCAGTGTAAATTAATAATTCATCAGCGCATTCCAACAGCACCGGGGGTCTGTGATGGATATGATAGCCGATTTGTGTGTAATTAATGGTGCTAATTGATGCTGCTGCTTAGCGTGCGCGTGTGTCTATGTGTGTGCAGATACTCTTATAGGTATGAAGGCTCTGCTGTAGCCAAATAAGTCCTGTGTATTTAATCCCAGAGTATAGCTGGCGTGTGTATGTTCGCAGCTCTGAGCACCATGACGACCTCCCTGGCCTCGGCACCATTTCATGTGCATGATAAGAGCTCCGGCCTCCTTGTCCTCTGGCTGCTGCCGCCGTGTATCTCATCCAATGGCACCTGTGTGGTAAGCCGTTAGCGCGTGGCGGCACAGAGGAGGTTCTTCCTGTGTGGTGGCCGAGCCGTTAGCGCGTGGCGGCACAGAGGAGGTTCTTCCTGTGTGGTGGCCGAGCCGTTAGCGCGCGGCGGCACAGAGGTGGCGGTTCTTCCTGTGTTGTGGCCCAGCCGTTAGCTTGCGGCGGCACAGAGGAGGCGGTTCTTCCTCTACATAGGTTCCATTCTGTCTCATCCCATCCCCTACACCTCGACCCCCCCACCACCCCCCCCCGTCTTTATCAAAGCCGTGTGGGATCCGCTGGCACTGAAGAAGGAAAAGCGGATTTATATCATCATGACATGACAGGCAGGGTGTCTGACAGTCCATCTGGGGATTTTAATTAATCAGAAACAATGATTTTAGCATTTCAAATAGTGAATGATGCGGACTCCTTGGGGAAACTGCTGTTTGGCTCTGGACATATTGCAGATTAGACAGAACTGAAGAGACGATGTTGGTGAAAAGAGGCTGGGGGTTGGGTGCCTGGGGGGGTCCCACGCTCCATCCAACCTGTGACTGCTCATCCAGGTCAAGAAGGTGGGACTATTGATTTAGTTCTTCCAAAAACATATATTTTCAAAAGTTAAGTAAAGGTGAAGTGAGCAGTGTCGCCTGGAGATTCTACAGCAGCAGGTCCTCTCTAGCTCTTTGGGTTTCTCATTGGAGGTGTTTAAGACACATAGATGTGTTACACATATTGTGCATTTAGATCGACCAAAAGCTCATTCTGGACTGGAGACCAGCACCCGCTGTGCCTCAAGTGGATTGGAGCCATGCTGGCCATCCCAAGACAGATGGTCATCAGCTACAGGTGTTAGGCTGCGAGGTGACACTGGGGGCGGCATCTTCCAGTCAACTGCTGGACAATAAGGTGAAGGGATGCACCAAGTGCCCTGCAGGTTGAGCTTGTGCTTCCCCAATGGGCCGGAGCTGCATGCTGTGTAAGGGGCCACGCAGCAGCTGAGAGGATTGTAAGCGGGATTTCCTGTAGGCGCGGGGCTTCACTGAGAGACTGTTTACGTAGGATAAGCCGTATGGAATGAGTGTGATGCCTGGCATTTGGATGGAGTTTGCAGGGGTGAACGATGGGGCAGGACAGGTATGTGGGGCATGACCCACCATCAAACTCTGGGCCTGAGGTCATCTGTGGGAGAGGTGGTTAACGTTTCTGAGTTTGAGGGTGGCTATGGCTTTAGATGTTTTGTTTGACGTATGTGTGTGTGTGTGTGGATTAGGTTTATTTTACTTTTTGACGATGTGGGGACCTTTTTTTGGGTCCCCAGAAAGATCTGTAAATGCAATCAAAAAAGTAAAAATGCCAAAAGTCTTGTTTTTAGTTTGGTTACTTATGGTTAAGGTTACTCTACCTGCAACCCCCGTAATCTGGCTGGAGGCAGGACGGGCCGATCACCCTGACAACGCGTGCCACGGAGAGGACTCCCGCGGGATTTCATGTAAGCGGTGCTCGTGCCTTAAGCTCTTTGGCTGAAGCAACCCTGTGACATCCTGCTGGAGCAGAGAGGCACATAATCTCCTCTGAAGCGCCTGCTGTTCTGTCTTCTTCTCACCCTCCGCAGTCAGCGAGCTTTAGCGGAGAAGCCCTTAAAACTGACTTTACTTTAAAAGTGTATTTGTTTGCCTACATTATGGCATTAAATCTGATATTTTTTACTGTGCAGAGGCCATGGACTGGGTTGGTTTTTGTAGCACATGGGATGGCTGCTCTGTCCTGTGAAGACGCAGGGTTGCTGGTATGTGGGAGGGAATTGTTAATGTTCAAAACCAGATGAGGTCTAGGGGCAATAACCTGTAAGCTTCCCAGTCTGAGCTTCACATTGCCAACCTGCCTTCTGATCTCCGAGGCAGGTGCAGGCTGCCTAAGATCTCTCCCAGTGTCAGCTATTTTACACAGAATAGGGAATTTAATTTCATGAAGTGTTCCTGAAGAGCAAAGCTCATAGTTCCAGATTTTCTTGGTATTTTAAAAGTTCATTAATATGCCTTCTGAGGTTCAGAGACGTTTCCAGTCACTTTATCCAGTCTCAGCTGGAGACAGCACAGCTTACTCCCAGTAGTACAGTGGGCAGCGAGGACCAGTTGGTCACACGTCACACTGGGACCAGCTGGGCGGGCATTAGCAGTAAAAGCGGTCAGCGGGAGGGTGGAGAGTCCACAGGACAGAACTGCTAGGGTAAGTATGCTAAATTACTTGAGACTACTAGTAATTTGCCTTCTTTAACTGTTAGTTAACAGAGTTAAAGAGTATAAGACTTAAGAGAAGAATGTACTGTTCCTTTTCATAAGGTCCTGCCATGCAGGCTTGTCCTCCTTCTTGCGCCCCTCTTTCCTGGGCCGCCGATGGCGCGGCTGCCGTGCCACCCATGCCGTTTGCCAGGCTTCCTGTGATTCGCTTGTGTGCCGGCCGCTGCTTGGCCTTGCCCTGTCCATATTTAATTCACATGAAGTCCAGCACTAATGTGACTCACTTTACAGACAAGCACACACACCTTAAATTAATTTTTCATCGAATATATGATATTCATCAGGTGGACCTCACCCCCCCCCTTTTGGCATAGTGACTGTTTGGTGGCCATCTGTACCCTAGAGCTCTGACTGATGAGGGGGTCCAGGTGATTGCCCCAGACCTTGCAGAAACACGGAATGGGGGTGGGGAGGGGTGTTGTCAACATTCTTGGAGATTGCTAAGAAGGGTTGGGTCTCCGGATCGATGTGTTTTTTTTTGTCTTTTATAAATAAGAGGGGAAGCTCATTTAGGCCTTTCCAAGGTCTTTCCTGTGCCACTCTGATAGGGGGGCTGGGCTTTTCAGCTTCTCTCCCATTGTACTCTAGCAGATAAGGGTCCTCAGCTGTTAGCAGGCATTTCATCTCCGCGACACCAGGAGAAAGGAAAGGTGGTGCCTGCAGTTACCACCAACTCCATCACAGGGGCAAAAGCTCAACACAAGTTGATTTTAAGGCCTTATTTACCACCAACTGTGTGCACCCAAGTAAACAGAGCTCTCTGTGTGCCCGTTTCTGGTTGTGCTGAGCTGGTCTACCTGGATCCTCTTCTGTAGATGGTGTATCTGTCTCTGTGAGGAGTGGGGGGGAGGGGAGGTTGAATTCTGGATCATGGCAGGACTGGCCCTTTAAAAGCCTGACAGACGATGAGTGTGCGGGTGTTTCCTGGCAGACTCCGAGGTGCTAAGTTTTTCTTTTATTTATTTATTTATTTCCTCCTTTTCCAAATTCCATTCCTCCCTTGTGGGTCTACATCACAGTTTCCATGGTAACCCCTCAAACTAACACACCCCCCCCCCCCCCCCAGGTTGCTGCGAGTGGTTGTGTTAGTCACTTAAATGTATCGTGCTTTTTATACTCGGCAGAAATGCACAGAGATAGCAACATTTCCATGGTTACCACACGGCCTTGCTATCTTCCACTTAGTAATGCTTGCAATGTCTCTGCAAGGTAAGTGGGACTGACACTGTTCTCTTAATTTCCAGCTGATAGTGATGCTTCCTGCTCTGAATCTTTTGGACCGGCAGCTTTCAGTCTTCCTCTCCTTGTCGGTTGCGGCTGTCTGTGGAGCGTGTATGTGTGTCTTGCCGCTGAGATGGGTGCGTGATTCGTGTTCTGGCTGGGGTGTAGGCAGCTGGGTGTGTATACCGAGGGGCACAGAGTGTTGTTGACGCACTGGAGGAAAACGCCATGCCTCAGCAGAGCTCTCTCACTTTGGGGGGTACCCGCTTGTTTGCAGAGCCCCTCCAAGCAGATGTTTCAGGAGAATTTAAGCATGTGCACTGTAATGGAGAGATGGAACGCATGCAGTGGGAATGTTGGTCTGCTGGCTGGTGATGATCTCCTGTCCTCCATCTGACAGATAAGGCCATGTGGGATCGGTGGCTGGAAGGCCTGCCTGCCTGAGGTGGCCTTGTTGACATATGTGCTACATTGATGACCTCTGATGAGGGATCTCTGGATTTATATACAGAACTCTGGGACGATACCCTTGGTGACCTCAGTGAAAGGTTTATGGGAAGCACGTTTCTTTAACTGAAAGCCGTGTCTAACGGCTCTCCGTGGGAATCCTCATTAGATTCTGAATGAGTGTTAATGGGTGATAAGGTGACCTGTAGGGGGAGTCAATGTTGCACAGACTACCCTAAATGACTTGGTATTCAGTTTTAGCTTCTCCTTCAATAGTATTGGTTGACTTTGTAGACCAAGGCAGCTAACCCCTGCTCTGCGCTTTATGTGCCATACCTTCCTGACAGATGGGGGATGAGCAGATCAGCGGTACCCTAATGCTGTAATTGGCTCACAGCACGGTCCCTGCAGGGAGAGAGGGCTGCCCTGCACTGAGCTGAGAAGCACTGATGTATTAAATTAAAGGCCGTAACTGGAAATAACTAGATGCTTAGATTGAATTAAGTCCCAGATAAACCAGTAGATAATCAGCTTCATTGGGGACACACGTGTGCTTAATTACAGACGAGCAGTGTTAGGCAGTGTTAGCATGAACTGGAATTTACATCATGAACTGGAATCATTACATTTACATTTTATTCCTTTAGCGCGGAACCTTTTGAGAATGCAGCAATTGGCAGTTAAGTGTCATGCTCAGTGGCCCAGCGGTAACATCACTGCCAAGCCCTGGGATTTGAACAGGCACAGTGTGCTACCCCCTCTGGGCCACACAGCGCTCTCCATCCAACCTCATCTAGTGGGTATGAGGACTGCGTACTGCCAGAAGAGACAGTGTTACGCCCTGCAAGGGCATCAATACAATTTTAAAATGTAAATCATGCTAAACCTGCTTCTGTCCAACTGTGCTGTGAGCAGTAATTGTATTACCTCTCCAGGGGAGTTGCACAGGTGTAAGGAGGTCTGGCCTGTACCAGCCATGGGGGGCACTGTGAAGCTGGGGCAGTGAGAGGCCCTTTGGCAGCACTGCTTAGGTCACATGTTGATGCTGGAGTGTGCTGAACATGCCTTTGATGGTTGAATGATGTGTAATAGCTCTCTGTCAGACGGCCGCCTCTGTCCTCTGTGACCTGCGAGACAAGCAGCCTGCGGGGGAACCACTCTGGGTACCCGCTTTGGTAACCGCTCTGGGTCCCCACTTTGAGTAACCACTCTGGGTACCCGCTTCTGGTAACCACTCTGGGTCCCCACTTTGAGTAACCACTCTGGGTCCCCACTTTGAGTAACCACTCTGGGTACCTGCTTTTGGTAACTGATCATATGCTTGGTGCCCTGCCTGCGTGCCAAACCTGAACACGGCGGTGAGCCTTGGCTGGTCAGCCAGAGGTCGGCCTTGTGGGCTGCCGATCAATGGCCAGCTTTAGTCAGTAAATGTTCCTGGTGTCTTGGAGCACTCCCAAGATGCCTCCTGCTCCTCACAGACCCACAGTAAAAGGGGATCATTCTTGATGGTACCCTCAGAGAAACCCAGTGCTGGCTGACTTCCCATCGCAAACGGGCTTCATTGTGGGCCAATGTTGTCCAGGATCCAGTGTGCAGGTAGCTAGTGCCCACTATCAGAGGTGTCCGCGTCAGCAGCATGGGCATGTTCCCAGTGGTTGTGGCTTTCCTGTGATGTCACAGCCTAGGTGCCTTGTTGTTAACAGAGGGCATGTTTGCGGCCCATATCGATTAACCTTGTCTTCTTCAGAAGCCGAGCCAAGTCATTCACAGCTGAATCTTATTTTAGAAGCAAAATGTAAAGCAATGGTGAATAGATTTAATGAATCCATTTAGTAGCACTAAATTCTTATGAGATGATTGGCAGAGTTCCTTGACCACCACACCATCTTTTGCCTTTTGGGGGGAAGATGCCTATTGTTTCTCTCTAGAATTAAGTATTTTAGTGAGCAGAGGGTGCTTCCTTGAGTGGTGATTTATGTGACTTGCTTTATTCTTGGGTCACTGAGTAACACGGGACTTATCTATTGTTTTCAGGACCTTGCAGAGAAGGACAGCGGAAGTGTGAAGCCAGTGTCTTCTGCATGAGGTAAGGCGACCGCCTGCCTGCCCAATACAGCTGTGTGCTTTTACTCATTGTTTCGAGGGTCACCCCCCTGAGGCAGGGTGAATCGCAGCATGTCCTAGTCCTTGTTGGTGCAGATGGGCCGAGGGGCGTGACATGGCCCGGGTTGTGCTCGGTGCCCTCCAGTGGTGTGTGCTTTCTCTTAAGCCCAGATGAACACGCTGAAGGGCTGATGGGTGTGGTGGCAGCCCGGGTCATGCTCGGCGCCCCCCGGTGGTGTGGGCTTCCTCTTAAGCCCATGCTTCATTGTTCTGGGCCCTGCTTGAAAATGAAAACAACAGGAAGGTGTGCACTGTGTCCCTCCACCGTTTGCTGTGGCCAGAGGCCTGTGATGATAATAGCAGGACCGGCTCTGCCTCTCTTTATAAATAGCTCAAGGCTGCCATGTCCATTTCATAGGGACTGTGCCTGCACCTCCAGTAGCTCCAACACCCTGGTGATTCACTGGGTGTGCATGTGCTTGTCCACCCTAACCCTAACCCTAAGCCCATCCAGCTGAGGATTCCCATCCGTCCGGCCATTCGTCTGCCCGGGACAGGCTGTCTTGCTGACACCACCAGACCCCTGTGTGGTGTGGAGCACCGGCGGGACCCTCTGCCTTCTATTTGCTCTGGAGCAGAGGCTCTGCTGCCTTTGTCCCTGTTTCATGCTGTTTCGCTCCTTCAGGCCTACTTTTCCGTTTAGTACAATGGCTGTCATATGAGGGCCCAGCAACCTTTGCACACATTAATGTGTCTTTTGTTTTATAGAAGAATGTATTTTTTTGGCCTGTGGTTTTTCTGGTGTTGTCTTGTGTCTGGTGTCTGGTGACTCTTCATGCTATCTCATGCCCCCCCCTTTGGCCATGTGACACAAACAGGGGGCCAGATTTCTACTGTCTACTTTCTTTGCCATTGTATAACTGGAAGGGTTTGCCCAAACTTCAGTCTTCATTGTGTGTGGTACAAGTATTCATCAATACAATAAAGTGCTGCATTCATATGATTCATCCATTGATCTTAATCACAATCTTCTCTACCTATAATCATGAGGCATCTGGTCACATGATTCGAAGTGCACATTGCAGGATTTCCCGTGGATGGGCACTGCTTGCGTGCCCCCTGTAGCTGTGCTAGGAACCTACAGTCTGCGGTGGTGTATAGTAGGCTATGAGGGAGGGCTGCCTGACTGCATGCAGGCACCCTATTGGACGGAATAAGTACAGCTGCAACGAATCCGGTAACAGAGAAGGGAATAAAAGTTTTAATCTGTGTTTAAATTGGAGGAGAGTTAAGCTCTGTCACTAAGCCTCCTTGTGACTCTATCCCCGTATTAGTGACATTAGGAGTGGAAAATCTCCTTAGCTATGGAAGTATGGGGATCAGCAGGACTGCTAAGGTGTTCTTTGGGTCTGGGATGGGCCTATGGAATGGGCAGGGGGCCAGGGCAGCAGACAGGCATAAGATGAGGGTGGTGTTTTTTGGCTCCTTCTGCTTGCCAGGTGTGATGAAATCAGTGCAAGCAGAACTGGTGGCTTTTAATTCAGTCCTGTGAGCGACTTTCTCTCAGGGTATAAACAGTTAACCCCATCTGAGCATTATGGGTCGAAGGTGCTAGTGGCTGAGTGCACGACAAGCGAATTTTCACGAGTGCTTTGAGATAAGGCTGCAATGATGCAGTCCACTCCCTCCCTTCTCTAGAAAAAGGATAATTTTAGGTGTTATCTCTGTGCCACATTGGCAGGTAATGGTGCATTATTTCTGTGCCACATCAGTAGGTAAGGGTGCATTATCTCTGTGCCACATTGGTAGGTAAGGCTGTGTTATCTCTGTGCAATGTTGGTAGGCAAGGGTGCGTTATATCTGTGCCACATCGTTAGGTAAGGGTGCATTACCTCTGTGCCACGTCGGTAGGTAAGGGTGCAGTATCTCTGTGCCACGTCGGTAGGTAATGGTGCCTTATCTCTGTGCCACGTCGGTAGGTAAGGGTGCATTATCTCTGTGCCACGTTGGTAGGTAAGGGTGCGTTATCTCCGTGCCACGTTGGTAGGTAAGGCTGTGTTATCTCTGTGCAATGTTGGTAGGCAAGGGTGCGTTATATCTGTGCCACATCGTTAGGTAATGGTGCATTATCTGTGTGCCACGTCGGTAGGTAATGGAGCATTATCTCTGTACCACGTCGGTAGGTAATGCGGCATTATCTCTGTGCCACGTCGGTAGGTAATGGTGCGTTATCTCTGTACCACGTCGGTAGGTAAGGGTGCGTTATCTCCATGCCACGTTGGTAGGTAAGGCTGTGTTATGTCTGTGCAATGTTGGTAGGCAAGGGTGCGTTATATCTGTGCCACATCGTTAGGTAATGGTGCGTCATCATTGTGTCATGTCTGTAGGTAAGGGTGTGTTATCTCTGTGCCACAATGGTTGGTAAGGATTTGTTTTGTGACTTTGGGCCTGACCATGAGGGACTCAGTTTTTAGAGGACATGATGCAGAGCACTGGAGTATTTGCACATTCTCCCCATATTCTGTGTGGTCACGTGTCAACTTCTGCTTTCCTCTGTGTGAGATGCTGTGACTGTTATCACTGTCTTCACTTTAATGCTCCACTCTTTTGCACACTTTGTCTTGCACAGACACAGACACATACCTCACAGGTGCAGGTTCCTACAACTTCCTGGAGCCAAATGCAGGACAGCCATTAAATCTGCTTATATTATGAAGAGCTGTAGGGGACACTCAGTGCAGCTCTGAGTCCTCTCTCTAACCCTCAGAACCCAGGGGGAATTGTTCTCTTGGAACCTACTGCCCTCTGAAAAGAGGACCATTGAATCTATTAACTGTCCCAGATGAGCTCTGGTGATTAGTGCTGCAGTCCAGGATGCCTCATCATCAGTGGCTGGGTATGGCTCCTCCCATCAGAGGAATTCGTATTGACTTTAGGAGTAAGAGGACCTAAATGCATCTGGGAGAGAGACTGAGGTGTGACACGTGAGTGGGCATGTAACAACTGAATGTGGAGTATATAGAAAACGGCCCTTCCAAGTGTGATCTGGTGAGGGAAGAGAATAAGGTTCACTCTACTGCCAGAGAGCGAGAGCACCGCTTCTGGATCGACCCGCTGAGCGCATCAGCGAGTCGCTTGTCAGGAACGTGTCTCCCTTGCTGGCTGTATGCTCCCCTCCCCCGTGAGCTGGCTAGATGGGGGTCCTGGCAGTAGTATTTACTGAAGGTGTCCGGACAGGTGTGATGGTGCCCGGCTTGGTGCCCCGTCTGGTCTGTCCATGTACTGTCTGCCTTCCTTGTCTGGAGAGGTTGCCTGCTTTTGTCGGCTGCTGTTTCATGCTGGTTCTGTTGGGTTATTGACTTTCTCTGGCTGCTCAACAGTGGCAGTGCATACCACCATTTGGACCACACATTTGCGTGGGGCATCTAAGGTTTGGGTCCCCCTGTTGGTCACAAACAGTCACTACACTTGCTGCTCATTCCATGAGACCTTGCTGAGAAATAGTCGTTCGGTGTGTATAATTGGAGTTTCTCCTCCATATGGGAGCTGGAGAAATTAACAAGTTCCCTCTCATCTGGACATAAAACTAACAAACGAAGGCTGACCGGGAGTCTTTGTCACACTGTAACACAGTGAGTACATGCAGATAAATGACTTAGTATTTCTGTGAAATGTTTATATAGCCCGTTCATACGTAGACAGTTCATACGTAGACCTTTGTGGGTGACCTTTTGTCTGCCGGCCAGAGAAAGCGGCACATTTGGAATATGACTTGACGCGGACAGAGAACTTTAGTCATGGTGTTTAAACAAAGATATGCTTTTATTTGACTCTTTTGTATCTTGTGATGAAAAGGATGTTCATGTTGGAACAGAAGTGACCCACAGATTTCTTGTGAAAATGTATCCTTTATATCCACTGCACACGATTTCCCCCGAACTAAATCTGTCTTCCTGCTCTGTATTATTACCCATCCATGTGATGGAATCATTGGAGTCATTGTCTAGAAATTAAAATTCAGGCTATGTAACTGACCCTGTTAAGCATCCTCTCCAGCACTGACACTGGGTCTTCTCCCCGAAGCCTGTTCAGAGCGTGATGTTGTATTCAGCAATATGGCTGGTACATACCAAGATGGCTCTAGGCTCCAGTGGGCTGCAGTGCTGCAGCCTGGCCCATCGCTCAGGCTCCCTGGAGGATTCTGTCATGTTGAGATAAAACTGCTTACTTCTGTTGTGTCTTATAAAGATGGGCCTTCATTTTACCCATCTGTTTATTTTTTGTTTCACATAGGATGCTCAGAAATATCCGCACTTTTTATGTCCTTGCCGTTGCCTACAGCTTTGTCCATTTTTCGAATCTTTGAGGTGGGCAGTTTAATCTTGAGTTTAGGTGTAAAGGTTTTGTGGTGTGTAGATCTTCCAAGTCATGATTATTCTCCACTCTCTGAAGCTCCTTTCTCAGAAAAAAGGTGACGTGGAAAAGTCTTTTAGATCTGGCTGGCTCTGAGCTGAATCATAGCCTTCCGGGAGGATGGATAAGATGGCTGGAGAAGCAGCTCTGTGAAGTGCCTGCTGTGGTCTTTTGAAACCGCGTCCCGGAATTAACCTGGCTAACGTTAATTACTGACACAGAAAGCCCTTTGGGATTGGTTGTTGTCTGTCAGCTGCTGCAAGCCTGTGTAGTTTTGCTTTCTTTCTAAGCACAAATGTTTCATCACTATTCAGATGGGGGATTTATTTAGTGACCTTATTTAGTCAAACTTGCAGCCATCACAGATGATGCTGTAAAGAACCAGCATTCTCAGACTCAGTACAGTGGCTCCTGCATTTTTCTAGCTGTGTTGAAGAGATCCTTTCCTGTTCCCTTCTGCTTTTCCTCTAGATTTCTTTCTGGCTCTGTGATTGATAACTGGCAGTACTCTCCCAGTTGATGGACGATAACTCTTCCTAATTGAGGCAACATCTGTGCTCTGATCTAACC